CATATATCTGCAGACGTACGACGTGCTCTCTTCATCGTATGTATCGATCTGTAGAATGTTGTTTCATAATGCATGTAAACAATAATAATAATGAACGTAAATGATACTACTGGGTCTCTTGTTCTCCAGTTCCATAGAACTTGTAGAAGCAATGACAAGAATCGCAATGTGTTCTTTCGTACGTATGTACATGTACATATATACATATATATATAAGCGATGCGCCACCCACTTGCACGAGAAGGTTAATGCTGCTGGATGATATCATATGAAACAATAAATATCATCACAAGGCAACATCGATTCTTCGAATCTCTGTGTTTGCGCTCAGAGTAAGAGTTTATTGTGTATTAGATTATCAATATTCTATGAATGCTCGGTGCTTTAGTTGTAGCGGCTGCCCCTGTGGGCCCATGTTCAACATTTGTATACTTAGATTTGTTGCAACGGATACTGTAGGTAGCGTCGTCGCTCCCAGCTGGTGGGCAAATACCCTGATTTCACAGCAAGCGTATATTTTGCTTATCGCATTTTCAATAACAATCGTTTTTGCCCACAGGTGACAGAGCAAATGATATGACGTTTAATAAACATGATACGATTTGCGTACGTTAATTTGTTTCGTATGTATTACATGAAGCCGGATAGTGCTGTTTACTCGTGTTTTGGTTTGCAGAGATCTTTTTTTTTACAAAAATTATTTGCGTAGACGTTTATAAGCGAGAGAGTATCACCATTGACAGGGATGACTAGAAATCCGTCGAGTACGTGCTACGTAAGCTGGCAATGGATAGATCCCGACTATCTTGCCATAACAGTAGTACTGGCCCCAGTTGATAGCATGCGTAATAATATAAACCGTTGCTGTGGCTTATCTTGGTTCAGGTGCTTCAAGAAAAACTTGACGACGCGCTGAACCTTTACCTGGGATGTAGGATATTTTTTAAAAGCGTCTTTTATTGCGTCCATGCGAATGCGTAGGACTGTGTTTCTAGCATTTAACCACTAAGACAGAATCAATCTATCTCTCATGTTCGCCTTTTTTGTGTAAATCTCACGTTTGTTAACACGAAATCTGGCGAACGTATCTGCTGCTCGGTAATCAATTAGGAGGTTGGCAATTAAGGACTGAGAAAATATTAGGGACCACGGCGTTAAGGGTGAATACGTTACTTTTCCGTTATTGTATATATGTTTAGTTTCTCAATAGAATGGACAACAAAGAAACGGTTTTTTTTTAATATTATTTTTTCGACTAGGCCCATTTCTGGCTATCTAGCCATAAATATAGCCGCTTCATTTGTGATCCACTGGATCTAGTTGGGCAACCGCAAACTCACAAATGTATCTTCGTTGCGCTGTAGTTTATTTCGAATGACTATTCATTTATACTCACGTGGTAACTTATTCATTTTTTAACTTACTACTTTCTGACTTCCGTAAAATATGGTTGAGTTGAATCGCCACTTGAAATGAAAACCATTCAAGTGTTACCTATGCGGATCCTGAATTTTAATGACTCCTGATTAGTTTACCCTATTACTGGGCGTAAATAGTTATCGATTTTGAGATCGTTTTCTATATTATTTAAGCCTTTATTGGCTATTTACCCGTTCCTTTCCGGTTTCGTCGGCTAATCAAAACGGGATCCTTACACAGCTCGAAACCTTCACACGACTGTCAACAATGAATATGTTCTGTCTTTGGGCAATGGCGTAAAAAGCCACAAGGGATTGCCTGATTGATCCAGCGACCGGCTGACTCTGGATCGGCTACCTATTGCAGGTTCCTCTTCAGCGCTATCGGACTGTCTGGTGACAGTCGATAAACGTCGTGCATCTTTTTTATGCGCACGTTATATCTCGATTCAGTTGTTCGAAGTTTCGGGAGTGCTGGGAATCTGCTATGTTTATTGTAATTCTTTCGTCCTGCTAATTAACGACGCAGTGTCGCAGCGCCGAATCGCTCGCAGTGACGGATCCTCTGTGACGGTGTGCCGCGAAACAGCGAGATCATGTGTTACGAAAATCAAATTTGATGTCGTTTCATTCATCCCTCACTAATAGATCCGATATTCGTTGAGTCGTTAAGGATACTGCTTATTTGTATTATGTTGTCTTGGGTTGACTTATTCTAGCTTGCGCGGCGCTTAGGGCACGGCAAGGTAACCGCCCTGAGTATTAGTCGGTACCCCTTGGGTGGACATCTGGGGCATACCCTGATTGGTAAGGCTTAGATTTTGTTTAGAAAGAGATCTGGCCATTGGACTGGTGGGTACTCCGTGGGGAGCAAGATGGGCAGCGGCGCCTGCTGCTGAATCAGCTGCAACCTATCGTGGTAAAATAAACGTTAGATTCAGAAATTTGCCTTTCGAACCGATCTGCGACGATTTCTAGCACTAATAAATGGCGCAAAAATGCTAAGGTTCTAGAAAAGCTTTTGTACTTCAAATGCAAAAGGATTAGTGAATTTGGGAGGAGTCGTGACAAGCGCAGGGTCGATTGTATCTTTATTCTTTGATACTTTATCCGTGTTTGCTAAGATGGCTCATGACTATTCCCAACATGAGGCAAGGCCGTACTGTTTCGCTCTAATGATTTTACTCTGTAAATGTATAGCACTATAAAAAAACGACTTTTATGATAAAATACCATAATCTCAAGTTCATCAGCGAATTTGTGCATTTTTCCTTATTGCATCTTTACCGTACCTGGTCCGTTTCGAATGCGACAAATCCTTTTTGTTCGCCTTCTCCTGTCAAAGTGTAGTGCGTAGCAATAAAGACTGCCAAAACAACGAGGCAGCACAGCGAGTAGCCCAAGAATGTTAACTGGGTTCCTGCAGTCCCACAGGCCAATTGAGCGGGCCCGGTAAAATACAATCAGCAAAAACGAAATGACGATGTAATGATTTGCAATACGACTACGCCAAAAGAGGATACCTAACGCGCATTTATAGTTTTAAGCTGCATAAACGCCATTTGACGTCATATAATAGAAATGCCGTCAATGTCGGCCATTATCTACCGTCCGCTGAATTGGCTAGATATTCTTCGAATGCTTTTGAACACTCCATTATCTTAGGCGTACGCTATTGCTTAATGCTGCACCAATTTTATTCCTGTACTTAACTCGGTAAAAGGTTAGACGTATTCAACTAAAAATCAGTTAAGCTAAACGATAGCTTTCATAACAATCGCGGATTTCTTCTTCAGGCCCTAACCAGCATTATAAGCAGGAAGCAAGACTGAGGAGTTTTAGCCTTGCCACTTAAGCTTTAGGGAAAGTGGAAGAGGGAGCTTTAAAAAAGCCATTGACAACAATTCGAGGTGCACGTAAGGCCAAGGGACACGTATTGTCGAAGATCAGCGCCACACACTGCACCGCTGTTCCAGTGCCAATGAATATTGATTAAACGATAGAACGAAAACGGTATCTCAGTCAACAGATCAAGCTTGTATTATCTTAATCGCTTTTTCAAACTGGGTCCAATGCACTAAGTGGTACGACTCTTATTATTATCATTATTAAGATCATTATATATTCATTCAATTTAGTCATGTATTCAACTGTTTCTCTTCAAAGGCTTTCAACAGATGATTCTCGAATCATATACGAACTTACTAATTGGCAATACTAATCTATATTCAGCACGCTAAGACCATGATACGTCTTATGCAAAGAAGGCTACTTTTTAAATTTGCCGATAGCTACTTGACCCGTGACCAGCTGTTAACCAGGCCATAAATGACAATTTCATTCTAGTCCACTGCGTATATTTTGCCTCATTGCGTGTGGCATCGAAATACTATTAATTATACGACGCTGTGCAAAATTGTTTCTATAACTCACCGTATTGAGTTATAATTAGTCCTCCAATGACGGCCCCGCTCGCTCGACCGAAGCCATGGTGTAAACCTTGCAGGACCCCAATAGCTGAGGCACGAACCCCTGACGGCGTTGCGGCACCGACGTACGAGACACAGGCAGCCCATACGGCTGAATGCGTGACGCCCTGCAGTAGTTCAAAGGGCAAAATCAGCCACGGATTGGAGACGTATGCCAGATAAAGGAAGCGTAGTACATTTCCGGTTAGACCAAAGCAGAGCACCTTTTGGTGGCCCCACTTGCCAATAAATTTAAAGCTGAAGAAGAACGCGCCGATCTCCGAAATGTGATTCACCACCGACGCTAAACCGAAAAGTGTCGGCGTTCCACCCAGCTCTTGCAAATGCCAAAATAGAAATGTAAAGACCAACCCAATCCCAAAACCCAGGCACCATGCCGCTAACAGAAAAGTGGCATAACGTGGTGTGGCAATCGTGTTCAGTACGGACATGATCTGCGGAAGGTGCCGCATATGATGTGCAAACACATTACTCTGAAAAATTACGTCAAAAGAAATAAAAAAAACAATCAGTTAAAATTGACGCCTTCGATGTTTGTTGTGCTGCATAACAGCGGTATGTTTGCTGGATTGACACTTGCAAGTTAATGTTTATATACAAATATAATATGAGAACAAGCATGACGGGGTTGGCGGAACTCGCGCAGCGTTAAAAGCAAGAAAAAGTTCATCGTTTTTTTGTAGAGTTGAACAGCAACGCATTTAACTGTAATACGAATAAACTTCTCAGAAATAGTGTTACTTATCAGACTGTTTCGAGACTTCATGTGTAGCACTTTGGGGTTGGTTGGCAACGAAGTTCGCCAAAGCATCTTTGCCAAAAGTTGCTCGACCAGCAATGAAAACCGAAGCTTCCTGAAGTAACGAACATTTGTGAAGAGACGTGCATTCTCTCCGCGTATTCTCAACCACCCCTTAATGCAATGAGTAAACGTGCTGATTTTTTAATAATTGTAGACATTTTCCAGTTTATTATACTTTCTTTCAAGGTTCAATATGCTGACACGTTCAAGGTAATCTTGACAACGGGATGCGTATAAGGTTGACTTAAATCAATTTATTATTTACGCGCGTATTTTCTACCTAACCAGGCAATTTAACACAGAAATATTGATGAGCTGATCTAATTTAACAGACTCGATTTAATAATTAAAATGATAAAATACCTTGGCAGGTTCAGGATCGTTGAGATGTTGTTCCGAAGTCAGATGATCTGTTGCTGTCGGTATACCTGGAGCTATGTCTTCAATAGTGATTTCGTTGGAAAACCCACGCTGGGAGTTCTTCACTTTGATACTTCCTGTTCGTAGCTGCTTCATCTGTACATCAGACTGACTGCCCGTTTCTATAGGCGCAGCGTAGACAAAAGCCCATTATACAGGTGAGTAGGTTAATGTTAACCTTCACAAATACGATACTGGATTGATCTATGTGCGCCCTTTCCGATCGCAATCATAAGTTTTACGATTCTAAATGCCCTATATTACTTTCCCTGCCACGGTATCTAGCATGAATTATGCGCCGCTAGATAATAGATACCATGAGTGGTCGCTTGCCAAAACCAAATAACACTAAAAAAATACTTTTTATGGCTATGTGATTGCAAAGCTCTTCTGCATGCGAAGGTACAGATATCGTGTTTTCTTCAATAATTCGGTGAAGTTCCGATGTGACATTAAGATCTTTTACATAGAAGCTTCCAGTTTTCTAGTGCAGCTTCCCCTACGGAGTCGCTAATTAATGTTCCTTACTATAGCTATTTTTGTATATATGTAATATAAACTTCGTTGTTAAGAACAACAAAAATAGTGACCGATCTTCACTGGTAACCCATTATGAAGGATAATTGCACACATAGGCTATACGCTTCGTACTTTCGCTTTACCTTTCTTCATTTCCATTGTACACTTTCATTTTAATTGAGATGTAACTGCTTGTGCTCTAATTGCAATGGAATAGTTTTAATATCACCTTTTTGGTTGCGGATGCGTTTATGTTGGACATGTAGTTCTATCAGTTTATGCGGCTCGCCTTAAGCGAACAGTCTTAGCCAATGACGAAAATATTTCCATATATATATAGATCAGTATTTCCCACAAAGCTGCTCTCAGAAAACGGAGCCCCACTACTCTTTGGTGATCGGTGTTTGCTACAATAAGATGTTCCCTATACTTCATGCGTAAGGGGGTTCGTGCATTTCGTTTGCGTAAAACATGCAAAGGTACCTTATTTCTTGTTCAAAATTTAGGACGCACCTGCTTGTGCAGCTTCGTCGTAATCGTAATCAAATCGAAACTGGGTAGCGACGATAAACGCGCATCCCATCAGGCAGCTGAATGTCACAAAGCACACAGTATAGTTCCGTTCACGGTCGGAAGGCTTTATACATGGATGATTCGGAAACGATGTCGAGCGATCGAGGGCGATACCCAGGAAAAGCATCGCCACTGCCCATCCAATAGAACCGAACATCCTTTGACGTCCATAGTCGTCAGGTCGGTCGGCGAGATAGGTAAGCGTCACCTGAAAATGAATTGCATAGGCTCAGCAACGACAGATCTGGCAAAGTCCTTATTTTTCAAGTAGCTCACGCCATGAAGTCCTCTGGTGTGCGAGATAATTCGCTGATTTATCTCACACATGTACAATACATGGCGATCGATATACTTCAGCCATTCATTTTTGCTCACTCGTTCAGCCCGCTCCTAATGTGCTTATACGTATAGCGAAATGTTTGATAAACGAGTTTAGAACTGCAAGAAGCTACGAAAGCAAGTCAGTATCGCATACCGTTTGGATTGTGGAGTACGTAGCTAAGGTCATTGGAGTTAAACGTCGAAAAATCGATACAAGCATTGCTACGGCAATCCTGAGTAAATGTTCCGATTACTTGTCAGCACTAAATCGTCCCCTTCCTCATTATGTCCAAACGGAGCAGGTTTATGGCTAAAAAGCGATACCTAGCATATCTAACTCGATATATAAGACAGTAGAAATTCTTCGTTCAAATTCTAAATTACGTCGAGGCAGCATATGAGTTTACTTAGTTAAAGGGAGGTACTTTTCTTCTACACTAAATATCTTTAATTTATGCCAGATATTACTGAAAGGAAGTGAGGGCAAGCTATGATAGCTGACCTTCCAAGAAGTAAATAACGAAAAACTGTATATATAGCAGAATGAGGTAGATACTTGAACAAGTACCTCTAGCAGGCGTCACCACTATCCACTTCAGGTGTACGAACTGGCTGGCTCACCATGGCTGGAATACAACTATTATCATACATATCCGTTTAATAATGTTGGACATAAAAGGCTTTTTGTCAAGCCTAATCCCGCCTAAACAGGCTTAGTTTGTCACCTTGTGCTACTCAAGATGAAAATTTTCTTTGACCTCGGTTGCTAATTTGCTTGGGACAAGCACACAAAAGAGAAAAACAGACGGCAAATGCCGGAGATACGGAAGCGGAAAGAAGGTCAGAACAGAATGGATACTGTAGAATGAACATTGCGCGTCCCAATATATAGCTGAGAAAGGATGGGGACAAATGGGACGCGGTGGTGGAAATGGAGGGGTGAAAAATCGATCACTTCAGCCATGTCGATAGAAGGCAAGTGCGAAAATCTGCTCTGCAGAGAAAGCATTGTCCAAGAGATACGAGGCCGTTGAATATGGTGCATTGGTTGTTTTTACAAATAGATTTAATCGAGTTCAAAGATGATTGTGTCTCGCTAAACGATAACATGGCGGCGAATGCTTACTTATGCGAAACGTCACATCTGTAACAGCTAACTGCTGTAAAACACATACCGAGATAGTTAAATTATTATAGCGATCTGAAGTTTTTTGCGATATAATTATTAGGCAGATCAGAGGTTATCGACATGTTACGTTTGGAAATACAACAAGATGGTGAGGCTTTTAAACTGTCGACCATCACTATCTTCAAGCTAGCACGTACTTGTTAAAAATTTACAAACATAATATACTAACAAAAAATATTTGTTATTATAAATTTTGTTATCCTAAACGTTAATCATTAACTATCTTATTAGTTGGCAACAAAGTACACGCGATGATGTATCAATTATTGTTTAACCTATATTATGCCAACTCGTTACAATGTCAATCAAATTACTGTTATTTTGTTTATTCCTCCCCATGAAAAACTAGAGATAAAACGTTTACTACACGAAATAAATTCCCCCTGTTCGCACCTCAGAGTGAGTGAGCCTGTTCATAGACTTACTTCGACCTTACATACAGGATGCCTCAAAACAATATTCCATCACTTTTTTTCTTCTTCCTTTACATACAAGTTTATTATAAAATACAAATTATACAATAAAGATGTTTGAATATAAAAGTAGAGCAATGTGCAAAGACAATATCAAAGCAAGCTTCAAACAGATCTACCGACGCGATTTACAATCACTCGGATAAAATACAAGTTTCAAATGATAGGACTATTTCGAATGTTCGTTTCGAGAGACAAGGGACAAGAGAAACGTTGTAACGAAACATCTTCAAAGTGAATGAGTCAATTATTAGTAGTTACAAGTAGTAAGCAAGTCAAGCCTCAATAGCTGATAAAACGTTCCAGCTGGAAAAGCTTCATTCCAACTGAAGATGATTTGGACTAAAAGGAAACAATTCATTTAATAAATGGTACTTAGAAGGATACACAATAGTCAGAATACACAGCTTTCGGAAAAGATTGTTTAAAACGATTAAACCGAATAGCGTAAAGGGCTAGCATAACTGCAGCTATTGAGAAACTATTAACGTATTAGGTAACTTTAGAAGAAGTTAATGTGGTGCATTAGTTAATTGTATGATTCTGGAAGAATCTGTTTAACCAAATGAGACTTTGGTAAAAATGATTTTGTCGCTAGAGCTGCAAACTATCATCGTAATATAGGAATGTATCGTTTTATAAGAATCTTCCAAACAGATAAGCTGAAAAACAAACCTCATAGAATTCTCACCTATAGAATTCCCGTTCCTTATACCTAATGCTAGTGGGCTTTGCTGGCGGGCACGCTTTGCTGGTAAAGTCTACAGTAAAAAACCAACAACATTGGAAGATCTAAAAGCTACAGTTGGGCAGGAATATGCCCCACAAGGCCAAAGAAAACATATATGGAAATTCGTCAATCTATAGTTCATCATTATAGAATAGTAATAATTTTGAACATGTACGGTAGGAGAAGATTTTAAGTGGATTATTTTACAGCTTAAATATGATTTATATATAAATAAAAACGAAAGGCTGTCTGTGTCTCTGTATTTTGAGGCTGTCTGTGTATAATAATCATAGCCCCTGGTTGCTGATATTCAGTCAGTATAGTAGATAGCGGAAAAAAAAACGTGCTTATACGTATAGACTGTCTTATCTTTATAGGCACATCTATGTATCTGGCAACGTGAACTACAACGATTACAATATTCGAAATTATGCGCAATGGGCAGAAAACGAGATTGTTACGATCGTGTGGTCACAGTGGCTTTGCTTCTTCTTCTATCACCGTGAAATCTGCGATCGAGGGCGCGCAGGTGTCGTCATTGCATTAGAACGTGCGAAATCAATGCGGGGTGTGAGTCTACTCACTTTTTTAATTTCCACGCCAAGGTGTAACAAAAAAAAGCTTAGATAGACGTAAAGGCTGCTCTAACTAAAAACCTACCAGATACAAACGAACAGACTTGCATCTGGAAAGGTGCGAACTGACACTTTTCAACGGGCACTGAGATAACACAGGCATTCGAAAACGAGACGGAGCTGAATAAGCATGCAGTTAGTAGCTGGGATAAAGTTGGCCTTAATATAGACAAGGTAAGCGAAGAACAAAGCAAACAAAGTAAGGACATAGGACCAAGGATGTCCACCACCCGGTGGTAGTTATCAACATGGAATGAAAATACACAAGCATTATGATCTGGGCAATTTTAATTAGAGTACTGCTATCGATAACGTGTAGACACGTAATCTACAAGGGTTGCTATTTTCTCCAGTCTTTTCTCTCACATTGATATCGTTTACTGTACTTATTGTTTATATGGCCATGATTATTCACCGAAGCGATGAGATCGAAGCAACGGTGAACACTGGGGCTTTTTGCCATCATAGGGCCCCATGCTTAATCGAACATAGCTACTGCCCACCTCAAGTCGGAACGATAATTTCGTCGGCTACGAAGCAGCTCCCTATGAATGTGATACTCACGTTTGTAATAACTTCATAACAGCTGAATTAGGCGAGTGTGATTCTTTTTTTGTCATTAAGTCCAGCAAGAAGCGTTTATATAGTACGATTCTTGAGCTGCTATAATGTGCTTTCATTATTTAGGTTAGGTATTCTTTATCGGCCTCGATGCTTCGGATTTTACGTTTCGTATTGTCGTGTCCATGCGTGCGTTCGAACCTAGGCTACAACGCCTGTCTATGACTTCATAACAGCCTAGACACACTTTATTTAATTCCTCTTGCTTGGATGATATATGATGTTTTAAAATTGTAGCTTCTGAAACAATTCTGACACAATAGCGTTTTAAACTTATTTTAATAGGACAGTGTCCCAGATATTGAATGACGACAGCCAGGCATTAAAAAACAAAACCATAAGCTTAACTTTTGGTACTGGCTTGCAGAATGAGATATAATAAAATAGTTCGTTTCTTGTACTGTACATTTATCTTATATCTCACTGTGTAAAGTTATTAGAAAGGTATTGACCGTTATTCTAGCTCTATGATTTTAAAATCACATATCTCGGATAAAATAGGTTGTGTTGCCGTCGCTAGGATTTGACAGTAGCAGATCTACTAAAATTGTTGGGGTTTTATTCGGATTCAAAATAGAACACACTGAAGAATGGGTAAAATTTCACTATAGTCTGTTTTATGACGATACAGGCAGAAATACTCCCCAGACGCATATAAAATTTGGGCCGTTAATAGGCAAAATGGTTGATCGGAAAAAACAGCCCAAAAAATGGCTCTATCGCTTTCGGTCCGGAAGTTCCCATGTGAAAAATGCTTCTCGTAGTGGTCGATCAATTACGAAAAAAGTTTATGGAATTAGGAAAAATTGATTGGTTGATGACCATTGCATCGCTAACGAACTAAACATCTACCACCGGACAACATAAATACGTCTGAAAAAGAGGCGTCTATAGAAGAGCTCGATATTTGGGTGCCACACGAGCTGATGCCAAAGAGTTTATTCGCTCGTATTTGCATCTACGAGACTCTCCAGCGACCCAACGAGATCGAGAGGTTTTTAGCGCGGGCAACTACAAATGATGAAGAGTAAATCGCATACAACTATAATGTGACAATTAAAGAAATAAAAAAAAAAAAAAAACTTTACAATCTTTAGCAAAGCCCAGACTGACGAAAAGGAATGAGATGCAATGTATTTAGTGAATCTGGAAAGGAATCCTACGTTATGATTGTTACCGTTTGGCAAAACGATTGATCCGGACCTCGGCTGTCAATAACCAACAAGGTAACAACAACCG